CACCAGGGTTACGTGACGACGTAATCCAACTGTATATTTTCCATGAGAGGTTAGGTGTGGGACATGGGTTGCTGACATGTTTCACCGTATCAACACTTGGTTTGGATGGTGTTGAGGCCAACATTTGGTTTGGATGTGTTGGTTACATCATGGATTATACAGTGGTGTGACTTTGTTTTGGATATGGAATATGTATACATATGGTATGGATTGTATACATTGGTTATGGATTATTTTATTATCATAAAATATGTATACATTGGCATGGACGTGTATACATTATATTTTGGGTTGGTCTATATTTAGCTTGAAAATGACTTGTTGGTCTGGATAAATACTGTGGATAAATATCTGTTTAATGATATTTTATTATGATGTACTATGATTGGTTTTATATGTGCTAACCCTTATATTTCCATGATGTGGACTGTGATGATCTCACTATGTAGGGGAGCAGATCAGGTATGAGGCTTTGGGATAACAAGGAGTCTTTTGGATAGTTTCTTGAGAAGTGGCTAGGTTTAGAGCTTGACCAGCACCTAGGGTGTCTTATTTTGATGTTTTAATGACATTGTAATTACATTATCTTTTTGGATTACTGTATAACTTTACTGAGGATGATGACTCTGTTATAAAAGATTATGTTATATATTTTGGAAACAATTTATATGTTATTGTATATTTACACTCTAGCGTAGCTGGCTCTTATTCTATTTTCTTTTATATATATTATTTATCTTTGGTTGGTTCTAGATGTGACGGCCTAGGGTGGGTCGTTACAAAAACAACAACTGGTATAAAACTTGAAACAACGGCTAGCATCAATTATATTGATTTATCAAATTTTGTCACTTAAACTATGAAGTCCAGTACTATTGTTAAGGTAGAATAGTTTGGATATAAGTCTACCATGACATTAGCTTGCAATACTAAGTCACATATGGGATCAATCCACTGACTACCTTTCAAATACTATGTCCTTTCAATACTCGGTTAGAGACTAAGTTTTTGACTTTGTATTTTACTCGATTGGTCATTTTATATATGTATGCATCGACATTGCCCATGTATAGGTACCACATAAAATTTAGAGGAGACAATTTAAAACAACTATCCTTCAGAAGCCAACATACTAACTTAAGGGTTTCAACTAGTCTCTCGAAGCACCACAATATATATCCACATGAAATATTTAAATTTTTAAAACAATTTTTAATTCTCATAAATTTTTTTATGTATATTAGCAAAGACATGTATCAATACTACATGCCTAACAACTTAGCAACTATTCGATGTGGGACTAAATTTGCCACACCATATTCAACACTGCCAACACATTTTACTAGATCAACCCGAAATTATCTTTAGCCTTTTAGATCCATATGCAAAGTTTCTTGGTTTATTTAGCTCCTATATTCTCTCTATAATAGACCTTTGTAAATTATTGTGTATTTAATCATCATTTGTTTAACTACATAAAGGGAGTGATTTGTAATTAAAAGTTGTGAATGATTTTAAACGATTAAAAAGGTAAAATGAAATATAAAGATGTGTACATTGACCCAAACACTTTGTGTATTAATTTTTTGTATCTATTATTATTTTTAATCAAGTAATTATCCATTATCTTTTGAAAATTGTGGTCACTTTCCCAGTTACGTATTTATTGAATTTTTGTATCCTTTTGCAATGAGTATGGTTGTTGTTGGTGCTGGACAGTAAAATCGGTAGAAGTTTGAAGGAAGAACATGGTCCTTTTGTTTTGCAAAATGATGGTTTCTTCGAGTAACCGTTCAAGGAAAAAGAAGGAAGAATAACTGAATTGGAGATGAGCAACCAAGTTTTGGAAGTTGAAGAGTTTAACAATTTCCAAAATAAATTTTTAAATGGTAGCCCAACACTTTTGGATATTACCAAAGAACAACATGGGGAAAATATGTAATAAAATTAAGTTTATGGGAGGAAAAGAAACAAACCTTAATGAAAATTGATATGGACACATGGCATTATGTTATAAGTCAACGACTCCAATGGACTCGTACCCCGAACTTGTTAAATGCACGACGGGAACATGCATCTTAACTTTTTGTGTACTCATTCATACATTAATGAAAAATGTTTAAATATAATAGAAATATAAATGTAAAAAAAAACAGAGAAAAAAATATAATTCTTTTCTATATTTATTTTCTTAACTAGTAAGAAAAAGAATTAGGGTGTGGGAGTAAAATGATTTAGAGGTCTGATTTGGCAAGTCATGATTGTAGCGTAGGGGTCGTACTCCTATTGAGCGAAACTTCTTAAAAGTTTCCGCATGAATTGAAACGTGTTTGATTTTGTGAACGCGTGGATGAGAAAACCCACGTTTCCCTTCCCTTTACTTTACTCATTAGTGATAGTCATGGGTCAAAGGTACCGCGTTCCCATGGGCCATGGGCCATGGGCCATGAGACGGTATGCTTCTTCTTTTCCCTACCCCCTCCCCAGTCCCCACGTATAAAACCCCACACCCTATCTTCTCTTTCCCAAATTCTTCACCGTTCACACTCCCCTTTCACACCTTCTTCATTTCACATGGAAATCAACTCCTCCTCCTTCCTTACCCTCGAAGACTTTTCCTCCCTCTTCTTCCCCGAAACCAATCCCACTCTCCCCAATTCCAATATCAACCCCAACAAACGACGCGGAAATACCTTCCACACAAACCACACCGCTTTCAACCACCTCCTTAATTCCATAATTCACCTCGACCAACAACAACCTTCCTTCATGGATTCTCAACCAAACCAATTCCACTTCGACTTCGACTCCTCTCCAACCAAGAGGCCTCGTCGCAGCACTAATAATAGTACTGCCTTCGACGACACCAATTCTGCTGCCACAAGTTCCTCAGGAACGGCGCCCCAGCGCCGTCTCTGGGTGAAGGACCGTTCCAAGGACTGGTGGGAACGCTGCAACCACCCGGATTTCCCGGAATCCGAATTCCGGCGGTGCTTCCGAATGAGCAAAAGCACGTTCGACATGATCTGCCAGCACCTGGACTCCGCCGTCACGAAAAAGAACACGATGCTCCGCGACGCCATTCCGGTGCGGCAGCGCGTGGCGGTGTGCATTTGGCGGCTGGCGACCGGGGACCCTCTCCGGGAAGTGTCAAAGCGGTTCGGCCTGGGAATCTCGACGTGTCACAAGCTGGTCCTGGAGGTGTGCTCCGCCATCAAAACCGTCCTGATGCCGAAGTTCCTCCGGTGGCCGGACGACGCGGCGATGGAGAAAACGAAACAAGAGTTCGAGTCGCTGAGCGGAATCCCGAACGTGGGTGGGTCAATGTACACGACTCACATTCCCATAATTGCTCCGAAGTCGAACGTGAACGCTTACTTCAACAAGCGACACACGGAGCGGAACCAGAAGACGTGTTACTCGATAACCGTGCAAGGCGTGGTGGACACGAAAGGCGTGTTCAGCGACGTGTGCATAGGGTGGCCGGGGTCTCTCTCGGACGAGCAGGTTCTGGAAAAGAGCGCCTTGTATGAGAGAGCGAGCAGGGGCAGTTTGAAGGACGTTTGGGTGGTGGGAAACTCGGGGCACCCTCTGATGGACGGTGTCTTGGTGCCATACACGCATCAGAATCTGACGTGGACGCAGCACGCGTTTAATGAGAAGGTTGGGGAGATTCAGGGGGTGGCTAAGGAGGCCTTCGCCAGGCTCAAAGGGAGGTGGTCTTGCCTTCAGAAGAGGACCGAGGTTAAGCTCCAGGACTTGCCCGTGCTTCTCGGCGCCTGTTGCGTTTTGCATAATATTTGTCAGATGACCAACCAAGACATGGCCCCTGAATGCAAATTTCACATCTTTCATGATGACATGCTGCCGGAGAATGCGGTTCGGTCTAACGCTGCGCTGCAGGCCAGGGATCACATTGCGCACTATTTGTTGCACCATGGCCGCGCCGCCTCTGCTTTTTTCCAATGATCATCGTCATCATCATCATCATCATGCATCTCTTCTTATTAATTCTTTTGCCTTTTATTCTTATTTCTTATAATAACATTCTGTTAGTGGGGATAATATCAATTTCTGTAGATACTTTTTTACCCAACCCAAAAACTGAATGAATCAATATGTTTCATTTTTGTTTTCTTAAATCCATGTTTTTGGCTTTGTTCCTGACATTTCAGACATTTTCCATTCGGTGCTCGTCAGATTTGCGATTAAAAAACTTGTCGATTCATGTAAGGTCGATGCCGCCGCGTGTTTGATTTTTTTTTTGTGTCTAATAATGCCATAATATATTGTTCTGCTATGTCCCACACTGTTTGACCCGTAAATTATATTTGGGGGCTCTCCACGGAGAAATATCGTATTTGCGCTTTTTGTGTTTTGACTTCTGTCTACGCAGTCTTGCTGCTGGGAGAAGGGGATCACTGTACAGTCATGTCTTTTTTTATTAATTATGAGTTTCTTTTGATCATTAAAACTGCAGTTATAGGAAAAAGGTCAATGTGTCTATCTATCTCCCATCCCGTGATAACCGATACAGAGAATAACAGTGGAATATTTTGGTCATATGTCTATATTTGGATTTTGGAACATGAATCTATTTTCGGGTCTCTGGTCGTTCTGAGAATGTTTTTTGAACAGTTACTCTTTTAAAAAAATGCTTTTTACCCTGGCTACTAGGATCGTTATAGAAATTTATTTAGGATTGAGACAATTTTAAAATTTATTCTCATTTTAGAGTGATCAACCATAGGTAAAAAAAAAACCTGACGTTATAATGATAACGCTCGAGTTAAGTACAGCATTGTTATTGGGCATCTAACTTCAACTGTTTTGGCAACATATCTCGTTGCCCAAAATTACACCACAAAAGGTCATCATGTATGTGGCGCTTTCTGCATTACGATGTTTTCTCTTGTTAAGAAATAAATGAAGGGAAGGTGTCCTAATTTATAAATATACAAAGTACTAATCATGTGTATAGGATCTCAAAGTGTAAAGTGTAGGTTAGTTGAGATGTACTCCAAGAATTATTCAAGGTAGGTAGCTTGCAGCAAGTAGTTCTTGACGCCACTAATATTATAATAATTTCATACTGAAGGCAAAAGTGGTTAATTTATTAATATTAGTTTTAATTTTTTAATGTAATTTAAATTAAAAATTATTTAAGAATTATTTTAATTTTAATTTTAAATAAAACTAACAAATTTTTTAATGTAAAAATTTCTTATTTATTAATTAATTAAAACGTGTATATATTTAACTAAATTAAATTTTATTGATTACTATTTAACATTTAAAAAAATTATATTTTATTAATAAATTATTTTTTTTAAATTAATTATTTATATATTTAAAAATGTCAACATGTGACGCTGGTACAAAAACTGTCACATGTATGGTCTCTTGTGGTGTTATTCAGAGCAACAATACATGTTGCCAAAAAGTTATTTCGTTGTTGTGTGTGTAACAACACTAAAAGAAAATAAAATAAAAAATAACTAGTCCTTGTTGAAGGATAAAGTCTTAGTGCACACATTTTTTTTAACCTTCATAACTATTATTATAAGATTGAGTTTAAAGAGACTTGTTTAAAAAAAAATACTTGTTCTTAAGTCTAAAGAGACTTGAATGTAAAAAAATACTTGGTTGTTAAGCCTAGAGAGACTTGCTGTTAAAAGAATACTTTGATAATTGTTTGAAGAGGCAAGTCAAAAAATACTTAAAATTAAACAAGTGACTTGTTAAAAGAATACTTGTATCTTTATTTAAAGATAGTGAAACTCAATTTGATTGGATTGAGAACTATATGGTCTTAATGGTTGAAGCGAAGCAGTATAAAAATATTTAGTGTTCTATCTAACATTTTTTCTTACTTTATCTTACTACATTATTACTTCACTGTAAAAGACATGCGAGTTTTTGATATACATTATCCAACCTCTTCTATTATTTATCTTTTTTGCACAGTATACTTGGAAAGTAAAAACGAGTTTGCTTTCAAACGAGTGAAAGAATCCCAAAGAACGAGAGACTTAAGTTTGTTCACTCTAATGTTTGGGGTCCAACAACTGTTCATATATTGGTGGAAAGCAATACTTTATGACTTTTATTGATGATCACTTTAGGAAAGTATGAATATATTTTCTCTTTGTTCAATATAATATTTGCAGTAGTATGAAGATGTAAAACAATTAACTAAATTCTGTTATCAATTTTGTGTGCTATTATTCAACATTTTTTTTCCTCACGAATCTAATTATAAAAATTTTTGCATAAATTTTCAACAACAACTAGCTCCAACCTCTTGACACCGGAAGATGTAGGTCATGTTTTCTTGGGTGAATAGATGTTTCCATTTACCTAGACATGTTCCAAGTCTAAATTTCATGGATATGCATTTCCTTAAATGTTAACTACTAACTTGTTAAAAACAAATAAACTTTTTTTCACATATTTGAAATTGAAAGGGATGATTATATATATATATATATATATATATATATATATATTTATTTTTAAATTTTTTTTTTTGTTGAGAAAATGGGATGACTAACATTGTGTTTAGTTTAGGAGAAACACCAATAAAATAGGAAGGAGAGCGAAGAAATTACTTCAAGAAATAAGGTGCACAATTTTGTTTAAAAAGAAATACATCACATGAGAAATTTACAGATGTGGATTTCATATTTGTAAAATTCTCTATAAAAAGGAAGGGAAATAGTGAAGAGATACTAATGGAAGTTTTTTTTATACCATTTTATCCCTCCTTACTCATAACCCTTTCACCAAACCCTCATTTTGCACGTAGTGATTTTTATATGTTGTTGGCTGCCCCAGAGGTGGTATATTCGAATACAACTTTTATTTGAATGACAATTCATGATATTCAAATACATGTTTTCTTATTTGAATGATAGTGGACTGTATTCAAATACATGATTTTATTCAAATGAAACCATGAACTTTTATTTGAGTGGGAGTGCTTCAAAGATGTGATTTATTTAAATGAAATATTTGTTTTATTCGAATGAGAGGACTTTGAATAATTGCATGTGTTTAAATAACATGTTAATGAGTGTTTTATTCGAATAAATATGTTTCTTCGAATGAAACCAAAAGTAGTTTTATTTGAATAAATATATTTTTTATTTAAATAAATAATAATTTTAATAAATATTATAATTTTATTATTAATTATATTTTCTTTTTCCTTCACTTATTTAAATTAATTAACTTTATAATATTATTTAATTTTATTTCTTACTTATTTTTCTCAAAATAAAAAACCTTATTTTTATCACTTTTTCTTACTTATTTTTCTCTTTTATTTTTCTTCCCTCTATTTTTCATTTATTTTCCTTCACTCGAGTTTATATATCAATATGTTATAAGAGCTTTCAAATAAGCAAGCAAGTAAGCCTGCAGACGTTTTGTTTTTCCCTCAATTAATGTAATTATTTTTAAAAATTAAATTGGATTTTAGTTTGAAATGGGTGTAAGAAGCTACTATTCATGATTTATTTTTTTCCTAATTGTTATCCTCTTGCATCTGTTGCAAATGGTCACATGCATAATGCTTTGTGCATCATTCATTATTTTTGCTATTTCCTCACTTGGTCGATTTCTGAAGAACAGTTTATGTTGGTCAAGACATATCCAAATTTGGCTTAAGCCTCTGACACTTGTAGTGAAAAAAGAGAGACTAAAGTCAAGTAACTTTGCGGTGATGGTAGACTTTATGTTTGTTATTAATAGAAAGTGAATTAAGGTTTCATGTTGCATTTTGCTTGTACTATTTAATATCAACAATCCAATCATAGAATGAGTTTAAAGTCATCTCAAATCCTACATACCCATATGTCTGGCTATAGCCTATAGGAGATGTTGACCATAACACAGGTCTAGTCTTTTTCTCCTACAGTGCTATTATCTATATCTTCTTGTGTGACTTTTAATACTGCTTCGTATTTTTGGTTTATATCTCAGCCAATAAGTAAAAAAAAAATAAGCATTGCTAAATACTAATAGCTTGATTGAGATTCCTGCATTGGCCTTTTAACTTGAGCACATTATTCTTTAATGGCCTAATCTAATATATTATCAATGTATTTTTTATTATAGTTTTTACAAAAGTTGAATTTGTTAATTCTTTAAATAATGTTCTACGAATATTGGTTATATTATATGAGAAATAATTCATTGAATTAAATGGTCTTTGGCTTTGGTGTGTGCAGAAAAGAGCAAAAAAGCTTGTGGGCATAGTTGTCAAGTAGTGGAATACTAGAATCAGAATGGAATGTGAAGTGTAAACTGTTGAGTGATGGGGAGTACTGAATGGCAACTTTATACGGATTGTGCTTTGTTATTTTGACACGTTTTTCATGTGCTGTTTAATGTTTATAGTTATAGACACGTGCTTTTGGCTTGACTAAAGGTGTTTGGTTGCACTTTCTAAATTGTAGGATTACATGGGCGTTGCCAAGTGCCAAGTGCCAGTTCGCCGTAAAGATGCCAAACAAGAAGAATCCATGACATGATATTGATGCATCCCTGTCATGGAAACCATTCCAACGGCTATATATACATACAATCTCTAATTCTGTATGGAATATTTACATAAAAAGAAATAAAGCAGAAAAATGTGGATTCTTTCTTTTTTGTACAATTGAAAGAAAATTAAAAAATAATTATTTTTTTTATTGAAAATGATAAAAAAATATAGCAGTAACTATTGAAATTTAACAAAATTTATAATAAATAAATATTTCTAAATATATAAAGTAAATTTTTGAACATATAGATTATATTTTATATTTATAATACAAAAACTATATTGTGATACAAAAGTATTTTTAACTTTTAACATGTAAATTATATATAGTAAAACTAATTTATGAGTAAAAATGAAAATTGTAATTTGAAAGTGATAAAAGAGTTAATAGAATAAAAAAAGAGGTTACAATTAAAGAAAATCTCCTAACAATAATTTTTTTAAAATTAATTACTTTAAATCAATTATATAAAAACAAAATTAAAAAACATTATTAAATAATAAAAGTTAATTGCTTATATATTTTTATAGTATCATCCCATATATATGTTTCCACACTTATATAAAACAAAATGTCACACTAATTATATGATGTTTAATTTTTTTAAAATTCAACTAATTTTTAAGGCCTTTTCCTACTCTCTTGCAATAAATTGTTTTTTATATGGAGATCTTAAATATTTTTGGAAGATAATATTTTTTTTATGTATTGATAGGATATCATTACCTTAATTTACTAATTATGGTAAGTTTAATATGTACTTTGTGTCATAAACTTTATATTTTCACGAGTTTTATGCTCAATTAATTTTTTTTCACAAATTTTGTCACCACCAAAGTTTTAGAATGTAACACATTTTTCATCTACCAAATTACAATTGTCTCGCTGATGTGGCCATTATCAGGTGGAAAAATTTAATGATGCAGCCTTTTTTAATTTGTTGTTTTTAAACTAATGTGGCAAATTTTATTTTATTTTAAATGGTAACAAAATTGTCTTCAAAGAAACTCGTCCCTTACGATATTTGGTTTATGCATCTTGAACTTCCCATAAACCCTATGTAGACTTGTCTTTAAGGAATTTCTCTTCCTAGGGTCCTCTTAATCAAACAATCCAAGCGATTTGGCAACAAATACACATGTTTTGTTTTTTTTGCCACATTCGTAACGAGACACAATAGATAAACTTAAGCAACTATTCATAGGACCAAGCATAACGAGGACAACATGCTCAAAACTTCTAAACAAATTAATAGTAGACATTTTACACAAAGCAAAGACATTGACTCGCCAAAAAAACCAACAAGCTCAACCAAAGTCTTCTTTTTCACATCTTTATTTGCAATGCTCTTACCAATGTCAATGTAATCAAAGGCAACATAACAAATGTTCAATTTGTTCACAAATAGTCTAAGTTATTAAAAATTAGTCTAACGTAACAAATTAGATCGGTTAGACTATTTACTTTTAGACTTGAAAAAAATCGGATCAATTTGACTTAATTCAACAGATGAGTCAATTTAATAATTTATGAATCAAAATTATAAAGAGGAAAATAATATTTGAAAACACAACTCTATAGATATTAATTTTTGATTCATACTACTACTGGGTCAACTCCAGATATTTCTATTTACGATGGTTGGTTGCCATTTGAAAAATTTGCACATGGAATGCTATTACTCTTTTACCTTTACCTCTTCACCCTCCTTCAGTCTTCAAAGGACAAGGTGGTTGATGAATTTAATGATTGCTGGACGTACACAATTCATAAACATATAAATCTGAAAATAAAAAATAAAAAAATACACGATTCACGAATATATTTTAATATCTGTATTAATTTTTTTAATTATAATGATATAAATAATATTTTATTTATTGATTTTTTACGTTATTTATTAATTAAGATAAAATATTTTAAATTTTACTACATATTTATAAACAATGTTACTTCTAAATATTATTATTTGTGAAATATATTTCAAATAAATACTTTAAAAAAAATTAAGCATAACTAATAAATATTTAATTACAATAAAAATATACGATAAATAATATTAATACGAACAATTTAAATTTTTATTTAATATAATAAGTCCGTTAAATTTTATTAGATTTGACTATTATAATAAAATTCAAGTTTGGATCAACTATTTACTTTTTATTCGAATCAAGTTTACATATTAATTTATATAATTAATTATTAATTAAAATGAAATATTATGAATTATTTTTATTTTAATTACTTATTTATTTATTTACATAATAATTAATAATATTCAGTTATAAAAAAAATTATATATTAATTAGCATTAAATATTTTTTTCCTATTATACTATTAACTATTAATATTAATGCATAATTTAATTAACACGTTTTTATCTTTTTCAATACTTATTTCATGGTTAGAAATCCAAAAATGTTTAAGGGTGTAATGTGTATAAAATGAGACATATTAATTATATTTTTAAGTCTCATGCCAAAATTTTATACGTTAAATAAAATGGAATGGAAGGAATAGTGAATAATATTAGCGTAAACAGTTTAATTAATTAGTAAATATAATTACATCCTAAGTAAAAAAACAAAATGATTAGATCCATTTATTTTTATCACATCCGATGATTGTTTGGAGCAATTGTTCATGTTCATTTTTATTTAAGTAAAGTTTATAACAATTTAATTACATTATTTTTACTAATTAATGTATCCATTAGTTTAATTTTTTCTTCTCCAAGAAGGTAGATTAAAAAATATAGAAACATATTTACATGAATGTAAAATATATTTAAATTGATGTTATGTTGGTATGGTAAGCAAGTAACGACTTAAGAAATTGTAATATAGTTGGATTACAATAATTTAGAAGATGGCATAATAATCATAGCACAGTGGCAGTTATAGGGTGTGGAAGAAGAGAATTCCGAAAAGGCCCCTGGTGGAAAGGGGAGCGTAATTTGGGAAAAGGAAAAAAGAAGGGGGCAAAGGGTAATTTGAAGTCGGTCCAATTGTTGGCGATCATGATCAAAACACCGGAGTCCATGGCTTCGGCTCGTACGAATTTGGAGGTCCAACTCAGCGTCGGGCAACTCAACTCTTCCTAATTCCAACCTCCCTTCGATTCCCTCAATCGCCTCGTTGCCGCATTCAAGGTCTTCAAATTTTAATTTCTCTCTTTCCTTTTTTTATTACCGTGATTCAACTTCTAGGGTTTTCTTTTCCTGCAATTCCTAATGCTCCTCCCGCTACTTCTTTTTTCCTTTTCTCTCGATTCAACCCCCTAGGGTTTCCTCTTCTTACTTCTCTGCGCCCTTTCCATAAATTTTAATTTAAATTCTGCTCTCGACCCAATTCTCTGGGACAAATAGGGTATTTGCTTCAATGGACTTGCTTCAGCATAGCCTACACCACCACTTGTCTTCTTCATTGCTTGATGCATATTTATTTTCTATCTGAAATACTATACCACTAGGACATTAATGGACCAAATTTGCATTTATATACATACATTGTATTCTTTTTTTTATCATCTATTTAAAAGCTCAGACTGCATGGTGAATTTTAATGCGCCATCATTGCTGAATATATTGTTACATAGATAGTGCATTGAACTGAGGAAGTAAACTTAATATATGTGCATGAGTATAGGAAGGACAATTTGTAATCAACAGCGTCTTTGTGATGTCACTGCTTGGTGCATTCGGAGGGTGGGACTTAACTGTTTTCCGCACGGCCAGGAACTGTGCTGGTTATTTTTAAGATCCACAATCTGTTTGTTTTGTGAATTGAATAAATGAACTCTAATTAACAGGCTAGGATTTCATAGCATTCGTTGCAACTATATAGATTTCACCGTGATGCCAATTGAACATTTATTTATACAAATTTACATTTCTTTATATGATCATGGTGTTTGGTAAAGTACGAGCAGTCTGACTTGCAATATAATGATGAGCTTGCTCGTTTCTTCTATGGTTGAATCAATGTTGACTGTTGCAGTGTTGGAAATATTCTTGCTCATGGTTATATGAATCATTTTTTACCCCATTATTGAATGGGAGTGTCTGTTAACAACTTCACATTAAGATTTCTTTCTTCAATAATTTTCAACTTCGAAAGATACCTGCATTTATAATAAAAGTATGCTTGATGCCAGATAATTGATATTAAGATTAAGATTAAAGGTAAGTAAATTATGCGGTGCCCACATTTTGCAATGATTTTTTAACCCTTAGTCTCACGTCAACTGTAACTTTGATAGTTAAACTAAAGTCATTTAGGAGAAGATTTAGGTGCTTTGAGGACTTGTTGTCTTCTTTATATATATTATTAATAAGAGATTATATACTAGAGACTAATGACATGTATCTTTGTTCTTAAAATAAAGTGATTCTGTATTGTAGTCTTTTTAGTGTTTTTCTAGGAGTTATTTTTCATCTCCTAAATAAAGCACTAAAATGGGTTATTTTAAGTTTTTTTTTTCCTTCAAAAGCACAGTTATTATAATTTTTCATACATTTTTATTTTAAAATATTTTTTCTTTAAAAAGTTGACAAACAAACAGGCATTTTAATTTGATTTATTTTTGGTTGAAATGATATACTACATGGAGAAGTCATAAACCAGTGATATAAGAATTAGGATCTAATCCTATACAGATCAGAGTCTGTGAAATATATGATGCAACTTAATCCAATTTTTATGAGATTTGTCTAGTAGGTTGGAGTTAAGGATATACTTAATAATATATATATATATTTTTTGGAGTATCCATTTTAAGAGCTTTCTATTATAATGCCAGCACTTGTAGTTTTATTTACATCTATCAATTTTGACATTTTTGTAGCTTTGTTTTCATCGTATGTTGAAATTATTAGAATATATCCCTTTTTTACAATAGAGAAATGAGATTTGGAATAAGAAAATGATACAACTTTAACCATTAAGATAAGCTCTGTATGTTGTGTTATGAATTTTTTAGCTTTTAGTAAATTTACAAGTTTCTGTAAAAAAAAACTATTTTTTTTTTCTGTATTGTCATATAAGTTCTGATGCATTTGAGCACGAGTCCTTATTTGCAATCTCAAATCTTACCTTTGATGAATTGGGGTGCACATAAATGTCTCCATATCTTGGCCAAAAGAATTTAATTTTTTCCTGTGACTATTTTGACCTTTCAGGTGCTATCTCCACTTCTTCTCTTGTGATTTAGATTTGCCCTTTATGTGCCATAGTGCCGCATCTTTGTCATGCACCTCTCTCTGTTCTGTATTTTTGACTCAAAGGATGTGTGGGAACTAGGGCAATGGCAACATCTAGCAAGTTTGATCCTTCTTCCAATAGCCCAGATAGACCATTGTACCCTGGGCAACGTGGATCCCACATAGCTGCTTCATTAGATAGATCAGGTAGCTTTCGGGAAAGCATGGAAAATCCAATTCTGTCTTCTCTTCCTAACATGTTAAGAAGCAGTTCTCCAGCAATGCATGGGGATGTGGAGAGCTTCTTCAATTATGTGCGTTTTGATCCGAAGTTGTTAACACTAGAGCATAAGTCTAATCGTCAAATGGATTATAAGCGACTTGTTAATGCTGCTCTTGGAATTTCACCTGATGAATCTCCATCTAGTTCTTCAAAAGGCAAGCTACTGTCGTCTCCAGTACCAGAAGACCTGAAACGACTCAAGGAAGTTTTGGGTGGAAATGTTGTGAAGGCAAGGTAGTTCTTTGTAGGTTTTGTTACTTGCATTGAAGTTATATGGATGTAATTAAGTTTATAACATTGCATGATATACATTATTCAACAGGGAACGTGTGAAAATGTTTAGTGAGGCTTTATCTGTATTCCATGAAGTTTTCCCAGCTATAACATCAAAGAAAAGATCTCGAGCTGAAGGTTTTTCTAATGAGCGTTCTAATGCCATGTTAAGTGATCGGCCAGTCTTGGGGCCGAGCATAGGTAAGGTTGGAGTTCAAGGTCATCCTGCCACCGGTGGTTTTGAACTTGAGCAGCAAAAGTCAGAAGAACGTACCAAAAATGTTGTTCCAAACAAGCGCACTCGAACTTCTATGGTTGATGTAAGGGTATGTGACTATGATGGCTTATTCCCCATGCGAGTTTGCAAGTGTTAACATGCTTAATTTCACTCCTTTTGTTTCTTCCTATAAATAAATACTGTACTTTCATGAATAGTATATATGCCCTAGTAGTATATTTTGATTTTGTATCATTTGTTCATCTCTGATTTACATGGAAACCACCTTTATTAAAATTTTCCTTTGCAAAAGTTGCCTTCTAGAACCTTTGTTTGAAAAATTTACATATAGATTTATTGTATTCATTATGTGTTCTTCCTGAAGCTTGTATGTAGGTTTTCAAGAGCTTTATGGTTGGTCTTTGCATTTCTCACATTTTCTCTGAAAGGGGTGAAATATAGGATATTCTACTTTTTCAGCTTTTAGGTTCTAAGAAGAAATAACTATGTTGTAGACCAGTAGCTTTAAAATTTTGTTCATTCCTTTATATAGAGTCATCTTTCAGAATATGGCATGCAATAAAACCTTGAGCAAGACTGACTTGTTTTGATAAATTTCAGGTGGATGTGCGGACTAATTCTCTTGCCAGGCCATTAGGGAGTGTTGACAGAGATAAGGAAAAGCTACGGATTGCCAACAACGGTGTAGTTCAGAGTGAAGAGCGAACCTTACCTATTGGAGGTGATGGTTGGGAAAAGTCAAAAATGAAGAAAAAGCGTTCCTGCATCAAACTTGATGGTTCTCCAAGTACAACATTGACTAAACCTGTTAACACCTTCCAAGAAACTAAACAGGGAGTGCAACAAAGACTTGCTACTGATTCGCGGTCAAAATTGAGTAATGATTCTCATTCTTTCAGGTATGAATGTGTTACATAATTAAATATTATTTCCGTTATCATATTCAATTTTCAATATAATATTTCTTAATGTGGAAATAATATTTTTGTACTAAAATAATATTTTAATATAAAGATTGGAGAGTAGGCACATTTTGTGGGAGGATTGAGGATAAGAAAATCCTCTTTTAAAAAGAGTCAAAATGTCAAAAAATAAATTGTTAGGCTTTTTAATCTCTAAGCATATCAATAATAGAAATTTCTTTGAAATAACCATGAGCATATCCCTACTCCCTAGAGATAATTCGTATAAGCAATCTTGCTGAATGTTGGGGCAAAGGGACATTCTTGAAAATGCAATCATTCCATTTCCTCTCTAACCAACTGCCTGATACCTGTAATTTGCTTACTTCCATAGAATTGTAGCTTCCTGTTTGCTTCCAAATGTTTTAATTGGAGGATAAATATAACTTATAGGTGTGACTATGTTTGAGGTCTCTCCACAGTGTTAATGGTGAAAGGATTTACTTAGAAGAAAGAGAATACAGTTGTGGGGGATTTTGCAAATTTTAAGGGCCATGATATATATATTTATATTTATTTATTTGGTCTATCCAATTCTTATTATATTGCTTAAACCTGGCATTGGATATTATATTGCTTAGACCTAGCATATAAATATAACAATTTCATGTATTTTTTTACAGGCCAGGAGTTTCTAATGGAACTGTTGGAACTGGAAAATCAGATGGTATCTCTCAACAAACTGGCTTGGGCATACGTGCCTCTACCCCTAGAAACAACCAAGATAATAATTCCCTTGTCAATGATAGGCGTGGCCGTCCTGTTAGTTCAGACAAGGAAAGGGTGAATTTCAGAGCTGTAAACAAGTAAACACAAGCTGTGTATCCCATTTCTTGTTTTTATGCTTTTGTGCTTTTGGGAAAAAAAATTATCTTTCACTACAATATTTTTTGCATGTTGCTTTCTCATTTTCTCCTTATTTACATCTTGTTTTCATAGGATTGTTCAATTGATATGGAATGACATGATTATAGTTCAAATGTCTCTTCACCTTTGATATTTTTACTGTAATTGATGATTGATTCGGAATGTATTACTGTTATGTTCTATGCCCAGGGCTACTGCACGTGATGAATTTAATTCAGCTAGTCCTACCTCAAGTGCAAAAATGAACACTGCTATTCGAGCACCACGGTCAAGTTCAGGAGTTGCCCCCAAGTTGTCACCAGTTGTCCATAGAGCAACTGTTCATAATGATTGGGAACTGTCTCATTGTTCCACAAAGCCCCCTGCTGCTGGTACTAACAGTCGTAAACGTGTGGCATCAGCACGGGAACCTGTTGTCCCCTGGCAGAGACCGCAAAAAAGTTCTCGCACTGCTAGAAGAACAAATTTCATGCCCATTGTTCCAAATAATGATGAAATTCCAGCTTTGGATACTGCATCTGATGTGACTGGTAATGATCTCGGGTTAGGATTTGCCAGGCGCTTGGCTGGCAGTTCTCCTCAGCAAATTAGACTAAAAGGTGATCCTTCATCTTCAGCTGCCTTATCTGAAAGTGAAGAGTCAGGGGCGGCTGAGGTTAAACCAAAAGAAAAGGGTCGGAAACAGGAAGAGATAGATCTGAAAGCTGGACAAAATGTTCAAAAGGTGTCTAATGTGGTATTGCCAACTAGAAAGAATAAGCTTGTTTCTGGGGAAGAACATGGAGATGGTGTTCGGAGGCAAGGGAGGACAGGACGTGGTCATTCTGCCACAAGGTCACTGATGCCAATGACATCTGAGAAGCTTGGGAATATAGGAACTGCAAAACAACTTAGAAGTGCCAGGCAAGGATCTGATAAGAATGAAAGGTTCACATCCTTCTATCTAAGCACTTTATTTAAGTTGTTTGACAATTTTTGTTTGGGAAGATGAATTAAAATCTATGATTTGGTGAAATCCTTGCAGCAAGGCAGGTCGTCCACCATCTAGGAAACTTTCTGATCGTAAGGCCTATGCACGTCAAAAGCCTGCTATTAATGCAGCAGCAGATTTTTTTGGTACTAGTTCATGCTTCTAAAAAAGATTAATGAACTCAACTTTTAACTGTGGTACAAGTGTATCATTATTGACTTTTGGTTTTTTGGTTTAGTTGGGTCAGAAGATGGACATGAAGAGCTGCTGGCTGCTGTAAAGGGTGTTATCAACTCTGGTATTAATCTTGCTGATTGCTATCTATATTTGCTTCCTAAATATTTCTCCCTGATGTTGTTGTTTGTATTTTCTTTTCACTGCAGCTCATGCCTTTTCCAGCCCCTTCTGGAGGATGATGGTGCCTTTCTTCAGTTTGATAACTGAGGAGGATATTACTTACTGGAAGCAAAAGGTAATCTTCTGGGGTTAAATTCCCTAGTGTCACTTTTTATTTTTATTTTTATTTAAATCCTACCTGAAAAACTCTACATCTTGGTCCTTACATAAAATTTATGTACGTGAATACTGTTTGTCGATGTTATATTGGTGTTAGACTTGGTCCCTATACTTGACAGTTGATAATGTTTAAATGTCAACTAGATCAAGTATGCAATGATGCCTTTTGGATGATATTTATTTGGTGTTACATATATGATCTAGAAGATGAAATATAGCACAGCCATTGACTGTTGTAGTTTAATTGACATTTACACAGTTCAATTCCAAATGAATCCGGGGGGTCATTTTGATACCGCTATATTGACTAGCTTCTGTTACCTCTTGTTTAAGTTGGGCTAAGCCAGAATCTGAAAATGCTCATAGTAATTGGCTCATATCTGGGGATTTTTTTTTTAGGGGGGGGGGGGGGG